AATAGTTGAAATAATGTATGGCATTTGTAAGGAAATACTTGGAAAGAACATAAATCTTCCCACTTATGCTTCAAGCTGTGTCATAAAAGAAGATATTAGAAAAATAATCTTCAAACAAACCATTAAAACTCAGCACAAGCATTTGAACGGAAAGGAATATCAAGCAACTGATGTCAATTGGTGTTGTTAAGGTGCATCTAAGCACTACGACACAGCCATGGAAGAGGATAGCGCTTCACACTGTCCCAGGCAAGTCGGTTTTAAAGAGGGGAGCACCCTTGACAACACTGATGTAAATGCTAAGTATTAAATTCAATGAACATAAACCTTCCTTTTATTACAGTATATTGTGCTATAAATTATGTACATAAAATTCTCTAATTCTAGACCTAAAAGGATTCTATAAAAACCAAACTATCGGATATTCAGATCTTGTATATTCAAAAACACGAGTATCAACTTACTTATTAGCTGCATTAGCTTCTGCATAGCTCCGCAATGGTTCAGGTACACGAAATTCAGTTCTCTGATATCTGATAAAAGAAAATACAGAAGCACCCTGAAATTGACTTAATGGAAGCCATGAAGCATAAGATATAACAAAGGAGACTCCTGTAAGAAGAACTCTTACATGCGAGAGTCAGAATCTTTGCGAGGATCATATCCTTTTTTGATCCAGAATCTTTGAAATGGTCCATTTGAAAAGTAGTAAGCAAACCCAAGTAGAAGCCTGAAAGGAGAGACAGATAAGATCAACTGACGTCAACTGTTCCAGGGAAAACTTTTTAATAAATAGGAGCACAAGGTTTCAGACAAGACCTTTTAAGGACCAAATGGCTAAATTTTAGACCTTTCTCAAGCAAGCGCTCAGTTATAGATTCCTTGGGCTATATAGGCCGTTCATCAAACAGCTTAGATACAGTCATCTGCCACTCCCACTGCTCTGAGCCTTGGGTTATAAGTTCCTCCCAGTTCACAGTCTTAGGAACCTGTGCGAACGCTAAGTCCAACAGGAAGATGGTGAATAAATCTGTTCATTGTTCATGTTTGAGTCTCTCCTTTAAGTTAAATTTTTCCATCTATATTTGCAAAATATATATATATATATATATATGCATGTATTAATAGAGAACAAAAATTTTCTTACTGAATCATCATAAAAGATTTTCTTCAATAAAAAAACTAAAGGTTAGATCCAAGGAAAGACGCAGGATTTTATATTAGGAGGGCGAATTTATAAAATTTTAGGGTATGATAAACTTCTAAAATTTGGGGGGTGAAATCAGAAAAATATATAAGAATTTGAAATTTGGGGGGGACTGGTCCATCCCTGGTTAGATCCAAAAGAATTTAAATCTAATATGATATAGAGAGAGACATTATAAGCATATTCTGACATTAGTTATTGGAAAAAAATATATAAAATCCAGCGGAAATATAAAATGCAGTCAGCAGGATATCTTTAATGTTGAAATCAATTGCAAGGCCTGGCTCTAGGTTAACCTGCATGAAAGGAAATAAAATTAGCAGTTCAAACATCTCTCCTTGCTAAAATAAGATGTTGTTGAAAAGAAAGCAGATATTAACTGCAGCCAAGCATGCACATGTTGTTTTAATGACACAGACAATGCAAAGCTTAACAAGTAGCATTATTAAAAAGAAAGGAAAGAGTATTGAAGTCCACCACAAACATAGATCAGCAACAGAGCTTCATTTGTTCCATATTCTTGCTCAGTGTTATCATAACATGAGAAAAGCAAGCTGTCATGAACTTTTGACTGGGTAGATGCAAGTCATAGTGTGAAAAAACTAAAACTAAAAATTAAAAAGACAATTGTATCTCATATGTTCTTGATCAAACCACCTAGTGAGACTAATGTGTTCATAAAAACTATACAACAAAAGATAACCTGCCTTTTCTACTAATCATTTTCATACCAGTAGTAGTTACTACAAATGTGCTAACACCTAGATAAACCCCTCATAGATATATTATTAAAGACTTAAATCATAGCTCATAGGCATGTATATGGTTGATCATGTATATGTGCATTTGTTTGTTGTAGAGGCTAGAAGACATGTTAATGTTTACTGTGGTTCAGTGCATATGTATGCAGAAAGAAAATAGTTTAGTCAATAGCTCCGCACTAAACTGTACAACTCCCTCTTGTTTCTTTTTTGAACTTAAGATGGTTGATGGTCTTAACCTGAAATAGAAAGTATTTCCAAAGTTAGTCCAAAGAGCAAAGCATGTCAAACCAACATTTCCAAGTAATCTAGAATTAGATAACATAAATCAAACACGATGTTTCAAAGACAAGTTCTGCTCATAACTATGCCTCCATTCTTTTGAGATTTCTTAAAAGAAATAGAACCAAGTTCACCATTAACTTCTTAATTACAACCTGCACATGGATTGATAAGTCAAACACCGCAAACAACATTTAACTTTCATATAAACATTAACATAATAAAATTCTACATCTTTTGAAAAACTTAATCTTCCAGAAATAAATATATGTGGTTATTAGAAATACAAATTAGAATTGTTCATTTTAACCCTTTTACAAAAATAAGAGATTATGGATCAGTACATTTAACAATGACCCTCACCATATTAATAGTAAAAATGCTTTAGGTTACTCTCACGCCTTTCCAGAACTAAGAATATGAACTTCAACTAAGAATCTTCAGTCAAAACAGAAATGGCAAAAATAAGTATAAGATAAAAGAGAAACAAAATGCCAGAGATTTCTTACACAACATTCTCTGCAATATCTTTGGGTGAAAAGAGCGGGGGCAATATCATCATCACATCCTCCTGATCCACATCCATGAACCCACCTTTTTCTGCCAAACCATTAACAGAACTTAATTTAATTTGCATTACATGTTGAAGCTTTAACCAGAAAGAACTCACCAAGGGATGGCTCCTCTGCTTCCTCCCAATTTCTCATTCTTTTCCTGGCAACATCGGCATGAACAGGGAGAACATGCTGATAATCAGCCATTCCTTCACCAAAAACGTAAAATTCAAACTTCAAAGCAAACACTAATCACCTTTGCTCCATTTCTAAAACAATAATAACCCTTACTTTGTTCTTAAAACAAACAGAAAATGAATTCTAACCATCAAAATTATACGCTTCCGAGACACGTGAAACGATATCAGCTCAAAGCTCCGTTCCTTCTTCTTCTTCTGGTCTCTGCACTTCATCTTGAGGAGGCTGTTCCGGATTTCCCGAATCAGTTACTCCTGCTGTTGAACATTCTTGTAATTTACCAGAAGCTTCGGTAGTTTGTTCATTAGAACACTTCTTTATCGATATTCTAAGCAGCAAACTGTTACAGGGACGAATGTCGCCAAATGCGGGATACGAGAAAGGATCTTCGGGACGAAAATGGAGCTCCAATCTGTTTGCCAGCAAGGTACGAGCCTGTTAAGAGGGAACAAAAATATAATTCACAAGTTCCTCCAAGAGTCTGGATGGCGCGAGCCGTCGTCTTAGGATATCCCGGATAGTGAACGGCAAAACGCCTCACTGTTTGGCAACGTGCCCGAGACTCTACCCTCTTTAATCACTCTCATTGCACCTCACTTGCAGATTGGGAATTTAGGTCTTCGGTTCAACCTTAAATCAGGTAATTTCTTTCGGATTAGGGATTGAAACCCCAACTTTGGGTTCAACAAAAATTTATGATCACTGTATTTTAGCATTTGAGTTTCACTGAATTTAATATAACATCCAAATAATAACAACTCAAAATTATGAATTTTGATTACCTATATTATAGCTTTAAATTGGCCAAAATAAAATGGTAAAGTTTCATATTAGCGCCCCATAATAAATTAACATTTAATTTAAGTCCTTTATATCCCTTTATAAAATATTTTTTTATATTTTTATCCCTTTTAAAATTAATGATTTCAATTAATCATTTATTTATTTTAGATTTAGAATATTTATGTATTTTGTGTTGTTCGATATTGTTTTTAATGCATTCTTGATAGTATAGTTTTTATGTTTAAATTATTATAACATTTATCTTTATATATTAATAATTATTATACATAAATTTTAGCTTATATGTATTGTACTTGTAATATTTTGACTTGGTATTTTTTCGGGTCAATTCTATAATATCTGCATCATTCAAGATCAAAATGAATGAAATAAGAATAATAGATTAAAATATTTAAAAATTTGTACAATTCATATTAAAAACATGTATTTGTATAATTCAAACGACATCGACGCATGTGTATAATTTTTTTCTTCAATCATTTAATGAGTGTATGTTTGGAAGAATATATTTAGACACCTAAGAAAAAAACTCGTATAAATGATATGAGATTTGAGAATCTCATTATCAAATTTGTTAATTTTGAGTTGTCAAAGATAGGTCTTGAACTTCATCAAACTCATTAAAATATGAAAGTTAAAGACAATTTTAAATAATGAGATCCCGTATATACATGTATAATCAAGTTCAAGATCGGGATTTGACATCTTAAAATCAACAAATTTGGCATGAGATCCCTAAATCTCATAATGTTTATATATAAATGTTTTAGGGTCTATCAGTCATCGATGATGGCGACCAATAGTGACTGATCACGATAATCGATGATGACTAATGACAATGATGAGTGGCAGTCAATGACGAAAATTTTGATTGAATTTAGAGGGTTAAATTAATATTTTATCTAAACTTTAAAGGTTAATTTAGTATTTTATATAAGATCAAACTAATATTTTATCTAAAATTTAGAGTCAAGTTAAAAGTATAACCTTTTTACTAATATCTCCAATAACCAAAATACAACGGATCGAAAGTAAAAGAGATCAAAATGTAAAATTTTCAAAATGATTATCAAAATAAGTTAAATAAAAGGGATCGTAAGTGGAGTTTACTCATTTTGTTTTTTTATAATAAATCCATTTTTAAAGAAGAAAAAACGTGCCCATATTTTCTCCAGTTTAATTTTCCGTTTATGCGGAGCACAATATTTTATTTTCTTTTCCCCAGATTTCCTTCAAACCAAAAGGAAAGTTTGAGATTTTCAAATCCAATAGAAAACAGGTTAATAGAGATGAATTTGAAAGAAGCATTATGGAGCAAGACAATAGATTCAAACGAACCTCCGTCTCCACCGTCGTCATCGCCGAGAGACCCAGAATCAGAAGCAGCAGGGGCTGCTGCAACGAGTGCCGTTGAAGAACTAGTTAACTCTCTTAAAAAGAAACGAATCTACAGAGAAGTCACCCTCGCTCTCCGCACCGGCCTCCGTGACGCCCGCGCCGAGTTCTCTTTCCTCCGAGTCCGTGGCCTCCGCTTCCTCCTCAAATCCCTTCGATCTATAGCTCAATCTGACTCCTCCATCGGTCTCTTTTCACAAACTCAGTCCATCCCCGAGCTCCAAGGTTCACGATTTCAAATATTTCCCCCTAAAGAATCCGTTGTTTTTTTTTTCTTTTTTCTTAACTTTTATTTGTGAATATGACTCTGTTGATGGCAGTGGTTCCGGTGTTGTTTGAGCACTCTTTGAAAGAAACAGTGGATGAAAAGGTCGGAAGCTTGGATCACACATTCAGCGTGGAACCAATGAAGGTTAAAAGTCCTTCCACGGATTTAGAAGTTGCTCTTGCGCTTAGAGTCTTGGAAGGTTGCTGTCTACTTCAACCTGAAAGCACTCATTTGGCCCATCAACATAAAGCCATCCCGGTAATTCTATATTTACTTCTAAGAAACTGTATGGTATACCAGAATTTGGATTTACAATTGTACTTTCTATAAAATGATTTCTTGCTTGAATGACTGACAAATCTCTTGTTCATGAGAAATGTGAATTGGGATTGAAAAGTGAACATTAATATCATTCTAGTATCTAGTATTGAGCATGTCAAATTATGTTATTTTATTTATTTTGATAGATGTCAAATTATGTTAAAACATACGAGAAGGGTCTCGTTTCGCATCTGCAATTTGCCTACATTTAACCGCTTATTTTTTAGGAATATAAATATCAACAGGCAGCATTTCCTCGCCTGTTGCTGATGATAATATGCTCATGAATAAAAAATTCTCTAAACATTTATTAAATAACTAATTCTGCTCATTATATTTGTTTTTCATTATTTTGGTGTGGTTTGTAATAGGTAATGAATAATTTTACCAATTATTTTTGAATTGATACAATTTGTTTCTGGATTATTGTAGTTATAATTTAGAATTAATACATGCAACCATAAATTTGATCTTTTGGAAAAAAGAGACATGCTATGTTTAAATTTTAGCTTTTACTTGAAGAACAAAAGCAAGTTAAACTGTAAAATTTAAATTTGTATCCCTAAATAAACAACATTACTCTTTTGAAATAAACTAAACTCGACTTAGAGGTTGTTACGCATGATTTGAAGAAAGAAAACATGGAATTAGAATCTTCTATGCTTAATAATACTCTTTTTTCTTTTTCTCTTTTTATTAAAGCTTAACAATACTCTTGAAATGTAAGATAGTGGATTTTTATTGTTTATATATATACATATAATGTGAAAGAGGGAGGAATTGAACCAACACCATAGTCGTGTGGAGTATTAATGATGTGGTATAGGGAGAAAAGAACAGTGAACCAAAAGAAATAAGGCTGAAAAACCAGTTCGAAAGAAGTTGGAACTCAAGAAAACATAGGGTTATAAAACCTCTTGTTTTTCTGTTAGTTCAAAGATAGTAATAATAACAATTAATTTTGGCTGTAAAGCCTACAACTTATTTATATAGGCTTTCTTTTTTGCAAGCAAAGTTACTCGACTTTCTTGCAAATGAAGTTTTATTTTTATCTCTAGTCTTAAACCTCAAGAAAACTAATAACATTAGCTGTCCAAAACAAACTGAAATAATAAAATAAAATATTATAAATTAAGCTCCTGCGCCATTGGGTCGATTGGAGGAGCTGTTTTTTTTTCATGCCCTTAATCAAACGGGGTGAAATTAATGTTGAACTATTTTGATGGGAAGATGCACATGGAAGAGCAAGATTATGATATGTTAGAACCGATCTAGGGTGGATATCCCGAGGAAAGTGAAGTCGGTGCGCATCATGAAAAGAGTTTTCTTTAAAACCAAAATTAGATTCATCAGTAAGACTACCTTCCAGTATTTTCAAACTGGCTGTGGGCACCTTTTGCCTTCAGAATCTCCATCTGGGCTCTCACTTGTTCCAATCAAAACCAAGCATGAACTACACGCCTCAGTTCTTCAACCGCTCATCATAGTGCATCCAAATCTGTTTCTTGATAATGATTTCTAATGCATCCAATCATGGCTTAACAGCAAACTACTTTAAACCTTAGGATCTAATTAGGCTTTGATTGCCAAAATTGATGTAGTATAGGGAGAAAATAGCAATGAACAAAAAGAACTAAGGCTGAAAAACATGTTCGAAAAAGGTTGGAACCCAAGAATACTTGGGGTTATAAATATCTTCTAGATTTTCTATTAATTCAAAGAAAGTAATGATAACAATTAATTTTGCCTGTAAAGCCTACAACTTATTTATATAGGCCTTCTTTCTTACAAGCAAAGTTATTAGACTTTCTTGCAAATAAAGTTTTATTCTTAACCCTAGATTTAACCTTCAAGAAAATTAATAAAGTAAATATTTAAAAATAAAACTCAAATAATAAAATAAAATATTAAACATTAAGCTCCTGAATCAATTAATTCTTAGATACCATGATATATCTTTTCATTTTTGTTGGAATTTGAGTTTTTTCTTTTATATCAAACCATAAATCACTCATCACGATGGATTTTTTTCTTTATAATTAATTAAATAAGTCTATATAATTAGACAATTTAAATTTTAAACAATTTAGTAAATGATTGATTTCAATAAACACCAAAAACAAGACCATTATAGTTTCAGCATTAACTTTCTAAATATTAATTGACCATTATTTTTTGAGATCAACTTGACCATATTTATATGTCAATTATTTAAATGTTAACCTAGTCTTTCCAAATAGATTATTTAAATTATTAAGTTAACAAACTTTTAGTTACTAATATGATCAAATCAAATTATTTTACATATTTTAATTCCACATTGTTTGTGCCAAAGGGTAAATATTGACATCATACAGTTATAAAATTAGCTATAAAATTGGAAAAAAAAAGGAAACAGACAATTGAAGTATGATATGAAGAGTAAACTATTTTGTCAAAAGTGCTAGGTTTAGAAAGTTGTGGTACTTAAAAAAGGGAAGAGTTAGAAGAGGGTCGAGTATTAAAAACGTCCACTACATAAAAAATCTGGTTAAAACATCAAGTTATCATATGTGCTGGTGATGAACCTTTTCTCCTTCCTCTTACCTGAGAAGATTGAATAAAGAGAAAATAATCTCAGTGACCGAAAATGTCTTATAATATACGATTTTAACCAAATTTTTTTTAGATTTGCCAAAATGACCAACAAATTCGCAACGCAAATTCAATTTCGCAACGCGAAAGTCGAAATTCGCAACGCGATACTCCAAAATCGCAATGCATTTGTTTCTTAAGAATTTTCTTTAAAAGATAGTATTTTCGCTGACGTGTCAAAGACACGCATTATCATTACCACGACCGCGACGGGACGGGACGGACGGCGACGGCGGTGCGCGAGAGTCCCCCTTGTTCTCTTTCACTCAACAAGGAAGTTGGAAATCCAAGCCTTAAATACTCATTCCCAATAGTGTTTCCAATACTATGTGGGATTGAGTATTACCAACACTTGTTTCCAATGCTAAGTTGAAACATTTAACATTTGGAAGTTGGAACACATTTAATCAAGTGAACATTCTTTCGGTGGCCAAGATAATTAAGTGATATTTGTAATCGAGTTGGGAAAACTTGGTTTGTTTTGCAATATTTAAGTGATATTTGTTTTTAACATAAGATCATATTCCATTATTACGTGCCAGGATGTACACAACACATTGGGGTTAATCAAATGTCTTTTGTGTTGGCTACATGGTATGATAGCGACATCGTCGGAGGAACACGACGAAGTGCTTACTCTTGCTTCACATCATCTCTTTTATCTTCTCTTAACCCAACTTTCGTCAAGTACATTGCCTTCTCAAGCATTAATTAAATGTGTTCCAACTTAATTATCTTGGCCACCGAAAGGATGTTCACTTGGTTAAATGTGTTCTAACTTCCAAATGTTAAATGTTAAATGTTTCAACTTAGCATTGGAAACAAGTGTTGGTAATACTCAATCCCACATAGTATTGGAAACACTATTGGGAATGGGTATTTAAGGCTTGGATTTTCCACTTCCTTGTTGAGTGAAAGATAACAAGGGGGACTCTCGTGCACCGCCGCCGCCCGTCCCGTCGTGGTCGTGGTCGTGGTAATACGTGTCTTCGACACGTCCGCGCGAATACTATCTTTTTAGAGAAAATTCTTAAGAAACAAATGCATTGTGATTTTGGAGTATCGCGTTGCGAATTTCGACTATCGCGTTGCGAATTTGGAACCTAGGTTGCGAAACTTGAATTCGCGTTGCGAATTTGTTGGTCATTTGGCAAATCCAAAAAAATTGGTTAAAATCGTATATTATAAGGCATTTTCGGTCACTGAAGTTATTTTCTTTTGAATAAAATATGCAAATTCACTGTTTTGTAAACACGTATGAGGACAAAATGTTTCAAGAATGGTGCAAGTCTTCAGTTTCAGTTATATAGAATACCATGTAATCTGAACTTTGAGTGCTTGATATGGTACAGGTTTTGATGAATGTCTTGTCAACTCGAGGAGTTCTTGAGCAAGGTGCATGTCTGGATGCTTTAATCTCAATAATGTTGGATTCCTCAGCCAATCAAATGGTATTTTATCCTTTTTGGGCTATGGAATGTGTTGCATATCTAAATTCACTAATGCTTTAGTTTATACTTATGGTCCATTAGTTTCGTTTCAATTTTGGCTGCCAATTTTTATTAACAGCTCTCAGTATTATAATGCTAATGCTACTGTATCACAGACCTATTCCTGCATCATCATGATCGGATAAACTTGATATGTGTTTTAGCTTGGACAATTAAACTTCTTTCGTGACATTCATAAAGCTTTTCCCTCTTAATCCTTAAAAATGTTAGGTTGTCAAGGATTGGTAGCCCCGTCAGTATTAGTAAATAATAGCAAAGGTGTTGTTCTGCAGCCTTTTCCTTTTGACTAGGAGAAAGAAAAAAAATAGTCCAACTTTACTTGGGGCCCCCTTACAAGGACAGGGATTGGTTACGTCCAACCATTCAACTAAATTAACAGTATATGCTTGTAGGAAGCTAATGATTAATATTTCATCAAAATGGTCTCCTGTTAGCTAGCCAAAAGCCTCTTGATATAGATTCTTTGATTTGGACCAGTCTCTCCACCATTTACATCTTATATGTCTTCCCAGGAACTTAGTTTCGTTGAATCATAGTTTGCCACTAAAACAGAAAAATTTAATGAGGATTGGAAACACTCAAGTAAGAGCCGTGAAAATGCATCTTCTTTGATGTTTAGCTGAAGTTTTATTCTAAGCTTTGTAACCAAAGTAAGGCTTATGGTTGATGATATCTTTCATATGTTCATTCATTCCTTGCACATCTGCTTGACGTTTCTGCTATTGCTTCCCAGGATTTTGAAGCATGTAATGGCATCGAGGAAGTTGCAGAGCTCATACTAGACAAGCAAGTGGACGAAAATCTCAGGTACTAACTGGGATTATTTTTTGAATTGTGGTTGGGATATTAATTCAAGTCTTGTTCTCTCGAACCCATTAATCGGTCTCAGTGGTAAAAGGGTGTTGATCTCCCTAGAGGTCTCAGGTTCGAGCAGTTGCGTCTGTAGTGTATGTTTGCATTCATTATTGTCAATTGACTAAGAAAAGTCTGAACAAATACTATCTTGTGATCACCCACAGTAATCAAAAAAGAAAAAAGTCCCTGTTCTCTTTTTCAGATGCTCCGGTTTAAAAAACCTGTTTGTTTTTCTATTATATCACATGTGGTAAACCAGTGAAAATAAATTAGGAATAGTTTCTTGCTTGTTCCTGTAGATGATCTCCGGATGCTTTTTTCTCTTCTTAATGCTAAGCAATGTCTCACTAATTCAGTTTAAAACAAATATCATTCTGCTGATCAGATTGAGATGTGGAGAGTTCTTGCTTCTACTCATTGGGCATTTAAATGGAAGGGAAGGGTCTCCCATGGCAACCATTCATGAAGAGGTAAGACGACTTTTAGGTGAAAAATCTGCTTCGTTGATATGGGCTGCAAGTCAGTTCGGCTCAACCCTTGATCCAGACCAGAGACTAACAGCTCTTCACATCCAGGCTCGTCGGGTTCTAGAATCCCTAGATTTGTACTGAGTTTTAATTTCTGTTGCTTCTCTCTATATTGCTTGTAGTTTCATGGAAAATCATTGTTGATTTTAGAAGAATGCAAAGATGTTACTGTATCGGACCAGCACTCTGGTGGTTGTTAGCGACTGCTAGGTAAGTTAGGGGAGAATATTGCAGAAATTCTGATCCTATGATTCATTCTATACTTGTACAAAAGAACGATACAAAGCAGAAAGAATCATATGCATTTACCAATCAATTATTTTCGTGTTATGGTTTAGTTTGTCTACACTAGAATACATCAGACATCATTCATGTCTTATGTTCTGTTATGAGACATGCAAGGCATACATGAATATCGTCACTTCTGTCATAGTTCCGACTATGTTCGGGAATTTTACACATTATACGAATTCTGATTTTTTTTTTCTTGTTAGGTCACGCGTGCGCACTCAGGAACACGAATAAGATAGCAACCAAAGTAGGGCACGACTTATTAAATCAACCATACATGTATGGTGCTTTATGGTGGGTTTGACATTATAGTACTGCATATCCGGCTCAACATGAACACATTAAAGAAGATCATTACCAACATAAACATTAGAGACAAGCTGATATTTTAATTAAATTTCCATGTAAGTTGTGTCTTTCTTATTTCCATGTTACCGAGACCGCTACGAATTTTAATACAACAGGAATAAATATTATTGCACACTAAAAGAAATATAGTCGTATGTTATAAATTGTATATTCGTTTGAGATTTTGAGATCAAATATTTCATGGAAATAATACAATTCAAATGAACTTTTAATCCCAAAATTTGGCGTTAATCTGCACGCTAAGATATGATAAAATATGATCCCATAATCGTTTGAATTGTATAGTAATTTAAGATTTTGAGATCAGATGTTATCATATTAACGTCCAACTCATACGACATTCAATTTTTTAACAAAAAATGACAAGTTTGAAACATATGAATAATCGGATAATCGTTTTATAACTTTTAATTGCACACTAAAAGAAATATAGTCGTATGTTATGAATTGTATAGTCGTTTGAGATTTTGGTATCAAATATTTCATGGAATAATACAATTCAAATGAATTTTTAATCCCAAAATTTGATGTTAACCTGCACACTAAGATATGACAAAATCTGATCCCATAATCGTTTGAATTGTCTAGTCATTTGAGATTTTAAGATAAGATGTTATCATATACGATTAATAGGTTAACGTTCAGCTCATACGATCTTCAATTTTTAACAAAAAATGATAAGTTTGAAACATATGAATAATCATTTTTTTATAACTTTTAATAGTTGAGGGACTCAATAAAGCAACCGATAGATAATTTTATAACTTTTAATAGCTGAGAGACTCAATAAAATAATATCATATAATTTAGGGACCATTTTGTACTTTACCCAGAAAAATAATAAATTAACTATTAAGAGCAAAAATTTTTAGTCTATTGTCAATCTATTTTAAAAGTTGAATAAGAAGTATACAAAATTTACCATTGTGTAGTTTCAATGCAATTACATCTTTTAAATTTGACACGGCCTGCAATGCATGCTGGCGTTCCCTTGGCGTTTCTCCTATTTGTCGTCGTTTTATCTTCTTTGCTCGTCCGTACAACTCGAACAAAGTATATAATTATTAAGCTTAATAAAAAAATTAAATTATACGTCTTTTCCTGTGTAGGTACTTAAATTTTTTTCAGTCAACTTATTCATTTAATATTATAAATATTATTATTTTAAGTGTATTGATTATAACGATTATTAAAAATCTATTAAATGATATATATTACGTTTCTATTTTTTTGAATTTTTTTTAATTTTTTTTTAAAATTACAAGAAAAACACCAAATTTCTTTAAAATTAAAAAAAAAACTCTCAAAAACCTAAATCCTTAATTTCAAACCATATTTCCAGCCATCATTGGCCATTTCTAGTCATCTTCGACCATTGCCTCTGTTGTCGAAAACCCATTGACCAGCTATCACCTTTATTATCATCCCAAGCCCTTAAATATATAAACTCCTAAATTCCTAACCTTAAGTTTAATGGGTGAAGGATTTAAGTTTATTCATACGTGAGGGAGCGGACGAGGGGAGAAGGAGACGAGGGGAAAGAGAGCGTGGGAGGGGGGAGTGAGTGTAAGCGAATTTGCATTCACTACAGCAGGAGAGGGAGAGGTGCAGTAGGGAGAGATAGGGGACGGCACGACGAGAGGGAGGGGAGGGCATCTTTTTTTTAAAAAAAAAACATAATACTTTTATTTTTAAAAATTAAAATTTTAAAAATCTAAATATGACATGTATCATTTAATGGATTTTTTTAACACTTGTTATGATCGAGATATTTAAAATATAACTTTTATAACGTTAGATATTTATATTGACTGAAAAAGTTTTATGCACCTAAATTATGAAAAATATATATATAGTTTAAGCATTTTTTACAGGCCCGGCCTAATATATGTGTCAGATAGACATTAGTTCAGGACAACATGTTTGAGGGGCATCAGTTTTCTAGTGCTTATAGTATGTATGTATATATATATATTTGTCTCAAAAAAATAGCCCAAAACACCTGATCGGTCGATGAAAAGCTTAAGGTAGGCAACGAAGATCCAAAAAAATTAATTCTCCCTTGGAAGTGTAGATACTAGACGGTGTTTAATCAATTTTCCCTTCGAAAATTATACGGACAAGTATAGGGGCATAAAATTATTATCTCGCCCAGGCATTAAAACTCATTGGACCGGCCCTGATTTTTTATATTAAATCTAATTATTAATTTAAATTTATGTTTATATTAATAATATTTAAATCAAAAAATCTAAATTACGTTATCATACTTTAAAAATAATATATATTATTAATATATTTTTATAAATTTAAAATTTTAAGATGATAAAACACCCCCTCAATAAACTAACTCCACCAATGAACCACTTGGCTTAAATTTTAATAAAAGAATAGTTGAGAGATTTATTAATTGACTGAGTGGTTAAAGATGTTTAAGTTGTCTCACTTTATGTGAGTTCGAATTTTGATATTTATCTTAAAAATATAATATTATCTACTTAATAAAAAACAATTATGGAACTAAAGATAGACTACAAGGGTTCTAATTCTCACTAAATTTCTTTCTATTAGTTATTTAATTTATTGATTGTGCTCTCTCTATAGTTTTATTTACGTCCACACACACACATATATATATATATAATTATGTTATATATATATATATATATATATATACACAAAAAATATTTTTAAATATGTTACTTATCGTTGAATTGATTCATGCCCTCATCGTAAAGAGATCGAGAGTGAACACTGGCCAACCCACTCATATGTTGAACCATCACAGCAAACCACATGGAAATGTTTGGTTTTATAGGATCCTCGTAGTGCAATAGCAAGACTTGAACCAAAAGTTCCCCAACACAAGTTGACTCGATTTCGAAGTTACTGAAAATGACAATGTGATATGTGTAATATTATCAAAAATAATAAATTTGTATGTGGCACGTCAATAATTAGATATATGAAGATATGTCACGTCAATAATATTGATTGATTAACAACCGTTAATCAAATAATGATTTATATCCGATATATATATTTTGATAAAAAAATTAAAATACTAAAATAAAATATTTCAAAAAAATTAAAGAACAAAATGATTATTTATACGAACATTAAAAGTAATTTTGTGATTATGCATATTTTAAAGTACAATGCCCCCAAACGCATTGACCTTTGCCCTGTACAACATAGACAATTAAGTGAACCGAAAGTCCCTTATTGAGAAACAATAGTTTGGTCAAGAAACTGTAGTGCTAAACAACTAAAAATGGCGCAATCGAGAAGCCGTCCGGTCAGAGAAGACAATTTAGGGTGGCAATACATTAATCCTTAGCCTAAAGATACGTAAAAAATCATTTTCTCTATACACAATATTGGCGGTCCCAACAAGCTTTTATATTTAAGGTAAAGCACGGAAATAATCTCTTAATTGTATAACGTTATTTTGTTGAGTTTTATGATTATTAAAAGTTATAAAATGATCTTTTGATTATAGGATACTATTTTGTTGAGTCATTCGACTATTAAAAGTTATAAAATAGTCACATGACTATTCATATATTCCAAACTTGTCATTTTTCGTTTAAAATTAAAAAAATATCTAAGTTTGACGTTAATATATTGATTGTAATATGATAAAATCATATTTTAATTATGTCTAGGGATGGACTTAGAGGGGACGAGTGGGAGTGGGAGTCCCCACTAAAAATTTTAAATTCTTATATATTTTAGATATTTTCTTTTTATTTTCTATTGAAAATATGTTTCCACTCCCTAAAATTTTATAAGTTCTACCCTACTTAAATTTTATAAGTTATACCCTACTTAAAGTTTACAAGTTCACCCCTCCTAACATAAAATCCTTCGTCCATCTCTGATGATGTCCACTGACACTATTATTGCTTTTAAGCACTGAATCGACGATATAAAGTAAATGGAGAGTTGATCCATAAAATACATATCAAATAGATCTGAGATCATATTTTATCATATCTCAATCAACATATTTACGTTCAACTCAGACGGTCGTCAATTTGTTAACGAAAAAAGACGAGTTCATAACATATGATTAATCGAGTGACCATTTTATAATTTTTAATAGTTAAATGACTCAACAAATTAACGTCATAAAATCGATAAATCATTTATAACTTTTAATAATTGGGGGACTCTATAAAATATTACCTAATAATTGAGGGATTATTTGTTTACTTTACACATATCTTTATATTGCAAAAAAAAGGGTGGATGTAGGAAAGGCCAATCTCGTATTTTGTCATTTGGAATGAGGACATTCGGCCAGTAATTGTGTGCCACTGCTTCCATCCGAAGACGTTGACATTAACACATTTTGACCACTTCTTACCACTTTACAACAAATTACAATCGGTGCATATCTGTTTCCCAAAATCTCTCTCTAGATAAAAATTAACTATCCTATCTAAATAATTAAGGATTTTTTTTTTTTGAAGTTTTAAGCTTAAGCATTATATATGTATATATGTGTAAAAGCATAAACATTCAATATTAAATAATTATTTTTTTTTTTGATTAATTTGAGATAAATATAATATAATATGTATTTAAAAATAATTTTCGATCATTTTACATTAAATATTCATATCACTAAATTCATAATACTCGAACCCAAAATCTCAAATAATAATAATAATTTCTTTATTACAAATATCGTTTAGTTGGTGCCAACAAATCTTT